AAAATTTGATCACAAATTTTTTTTTTAAAAATATCTAAGATTTTAATCATGTTTTTTGCAACCACATAAGTTGAGAAATGTCTGCATTTTCCTGCTTATAGGTTTAAAATACAAAAAAATCACCGACAATGAATAGTTAAAATGAATATAACACAGAGCCGGAATAATTTTTCTGATAAGAAAAATAGCACAGCTATTACTTTTAAATAGACACCTTGCCCATGATGTGTCACTATATATAGACAGACATATTGCCTTCGTAACTCCACAGTCCCCTACCCTTCATTTTAAAAGGTCTAATCACTCTAATGAATCTGACTATAGATTATGCGACTGCTTAGGACAGAGTGCTACGATAATGATTTATGAGATAATTTACTATGACATTTCAAATGTCAGATTATGTAAGGAGAAGCCTGCTTATTTTTACTCCTTAATTTCCAAGACCCTTCCTCCATAATTTCAAAACGTCTAGAGAATCTGACAGCAGTGGGTGTGACTGAATAGGACTGAGTGCTAGAATATTGATTTATGAGAAAATATGCTGCAGCATTTAATAATAATGACTCGGTGAGCGGTTGCTGATCTTATATCAAGTAATGTGTGACGATCATACAGACTGAGACTAAAGACTGAAGATTTTCTGGCATAAAAAATATAAATAAAAAACTGCTGCTTGCGCGAGCTTCCTGCAATGCAGCCATATCATAACAAGATTTATTTCCCGAAATATATACATAAATATATTAATAATATATTAATATATTAATAAGACTTCAAAAAATTAATAATAAAGCCGACAAATAAAGGCAACTACCACGGATGGGCGCTCGTTCCCAAACTAATGAAGCTAACGACGCAGAAAAAAATACAAGTCAAATACGCCAGATCCTTGTGGAATTTAAAGTTAAAGGCTTCATATCCACACGACAGTAACCAGGAAAACCCAAGTAAAAACCAACCTTACCTGGAGCAAAAAGATAAGTCCCAACGCCAAGACCCTGTAAGTCCCCATTAGAGCGAAGCCTCGCAGGAATCCTCTGTTCTCTGTAAGCAGGGATAGTGAAGGTTTGAAGGAGAAAAAAAAAGCAAATCTGCTTTGGTCCAGAGATTGTGCAGGATTCCCTCCCCAAAGGTGCGCTCGCGCATTAATGCGCAGCCGGGCAGGTAGTTTCGAGAGGCAGGGCGGTGCCGTTATGTATAATTTTACGTGTAATTCTGACGATATGTTTCTGTCATCTTTTCAATCCGGATCAGGCAGTTTCCAGTTCATGTTTAAAGTGAAAGACGATGATTTTATATAAAACGTGTTTTTAATAAACTCAAAACAGCCAATGACGGACCATTTGAATAATTGTTTTTTAATAGCATGCATATTTAAAAAGCATTGTTTTAAATGGAGAACTTATCATGTTTAATTGTGCAAAAACATTTTGGTGCCTGCTCCTCTATTGCTATGTAAGTCTATATACTGTGGGTTTAATTAAAGAAACCTTGAATAGTACCAGAACCTCAAATAGAACTAAACTGAAAAGGATCATGCAGCAGAACTTTATGACCACGAACTCCATGATCCTAAGGCCTAACCCTTTTTGTGATCCAGAAAGCACTATACGTGTAAATTTAATGGTTATTTGAACATTGGAAATCCCCAGACATCTCGGTATACCGGGATCGTGCCTGACTACAAATCTCATATACCTACTAAATATTTCAGAGGGATTATGGCACTGATGTCATACATAGTATAAAATGTCATGACATAGAAAATTTAAATCTCTCATTTTTATGTATACAATTTCATTATGGTGGGAGTCATAACAATAAACAACACAATACTTAAAACAATTTTGAAATGTAATACTTTGTAATGTTTTGTAGTCAAACTATGCTGTTGAGGCCTGCATTTAACAAAATAGCATGTTTGTGGATTTTGCTAACTACTGCAGTGCATGATGGGTATGATACAGTATTTGGAGGCTACTTAAATTTCATCATCTGCAATTGCTGCACCCGGCATAGGCAGGGCCTAGGTGTGAATTTGGAAGGGGGGCATGATCCATTTTTGCCCCAGGGCCCAGTGTACAGTTGTTGTACTACTGGTTTTCACAATGACACTACATTACGTAATATATTGTATGCAGGGGCATACCCCTTACAAGATGTCCCCCCTCCCTCCAAGTTTTACATATAATTTTATACTAAGGAAACCTAGGCTATCTGGCAAACAGAACCATAATGAACAGAGATATTGTTCCTGTTCATGCCATATATAAAGGGCATAGAAATGTTGTGAGGTCAAATCCTGTGGCTAACAGAGTAATATCAGCGTTGGATCCTTGACTCAAGGCCCAGAACACTAACTGCTAAGGAGAGCTGCACACTGGCTGAAACAGTATTTTGACCCTAAACTCTCCCCTGAACATACAGTTGCATCTGTGTCTGTCATGGAGATCCACATTAGGTCAGAGGGGGTTTCTTTAAAACAACTGGTGAAGTAATACTTCACCAAAAAAAAGAGAAGAAAAAATGTTACATTCAATGGACAATCCACTGATGGCTCCGAGGCAAAAAGAGGTTTATTACAAAAACCGAACACAGGGAAGGCACAAAATAAAAGGACGATATGGGGGGTGTCAAAAAGAAAACAGGGAAAACAAAAACTAGCTACAAGAACCATGAAGTAACATCATAAGGGAACAGGGCAACAAAGGCAGCAGCACTACAAAACAAGCATAATACCAAACACACAGTAACATGGAGACAAGGATTGACTGAATAGCAGGACAAAGGCAGGCACTTAAATACACTAAACACAGCGATTAGGGGCAGTTGTGGCTATACAGAACTAGCATGGAGGGGCAGGTGAGGACAATCCAATCAATTAATCAATTAAGGCACAGGACAACAGGTGGAATAAATTACAAACACAGGAATTAGGGGATACTGACAAACACTGTCGGCTAACACTAGGAAGGACTAGGAACTCAAAGAAAGGAGAACAGAATTAGACCAGACACAAGTAGGATAAACCAAAACGGGGAAGTAAAGATAAGAAATAGACAGGCTAGTCTCTAAACCCATGACTAGAGGATTACAGCCCCCTCAGCCACACACTCAACCCAGAGAGCTATGCAACAGTCCAAGGAACTGGGAAAAGACATCAGGGGCAGGGTTGAACAGCACCTACCCTGACAGATTTGGGACCAGTCCACTGCCACTGCAAACACTTCATTGTTGGCATGACACCTCAAAAAGTATTTCATGGATCATCTTCAAATTTTGCAGAGCCATTCTATAGGCAAAGAACTGGAACTGCTCAGCAAAGGGAAGGGTGACTACAGATAACATTTATCCTTGGGAATGTGATAAGTAAAGAAGTATTTCATGGATCTCATTACAAGTTAAGCACACTGGAGTTCATTTTCAGACAGATTGCCCCAAAATTGAACCACTCGTGGTTAACTCTGAAAGTATTTGATGGAATTTTTTCAAATTTGCAGACATTTTATGGGTGAAGATCTGAAAGGGTTTACATTTTGAGACAATTTGCACTAAAATTAAAGTAACACCACATAGTGATATCAAAGACAAAGGCAGACTTGAACTTTCAGCGTGATAAGAGGTATTTGTCAGTTGTTTGACAAACTTAGCAGAGGTACAATATTGTGAAGATCTGGGTCTGATCAAATTTGGAGACAAATCATACAGTATTTGGCAATAATTGAAGCAACAATGGAGAGTTGATAAAAAACAGCTCAATTTTGGTCTCATCTGACCACATCACATGTTTCCAAGCCTCATTGGAATTATTCAGGTGTTCTTCGGCATACTTCAGACTAAAGCCTTCTTGAGCACCACAGTTGTCACTCTCTCACCAAGCTGCTTGCTGATGGTCTTGTGGTCCATTCCACGTTTGTGAAGATCAAAAATCTTGTCTCTGACGTCCTTAGATAGCTCTTTGGTATTTCCCATGGTGATAAGGTTGAAGATGTAGACAGGTTAGTAACCAAAGAATACTAATTAACAAATTAATGCCATTAAATAAGAATGCTGGCTTTGTGTCTGTTGATACAGATAAGTACTACTTGTGTTGTGTTAGTACGCATGTACGTGACCTAATTTCTTGCAGGCTAATAGGGGATCAAATAATTATTTCCCTAGATAAACGAGAAATTGATTTGTACCTGTTACGTAATGATTTTTCTTGTTTGTTTTGTTGGAAATCTATCTTCTGATGTTAAAATAAACCTACTAGTGAAATTATAGTCTTCTCACTTTTTAATAAATGGGTCTAGTTATGAATTGAAAAGGGGGTCAAATAATTGTATTTCAGAAAAGGGTGCACCCACACCTATAGAAAATTATTATAAACATTATTTTTGTCGTTGCACTTTCTAAGCATCAGCCACCAAATAGTTGCACAACTGAAGGCTCGGTAAACTGGGTAAATAGGGATATCTTTGAAATTAGCAACCAATGGAAAATGCTTAGGACTACAGTGTAATTAATACTTTAATATTTACTATAATATTTATAGTAATGACTAATATATGGGGGGTCAGTCTACAGTTTGCTTCTTTAAGAATTTTGGTCAGCAGCTACCATGGATTAGGCATGCAACAATCTGAAGAATTCCTGTGTGCTGCACAAATGACAAATGAAGCCTCTTTGTTTGTGCATACGTGTGCGTACTCATATACCAAAACACAGAACTCCAGGAACAGGTATAATAAACTATTACAAATCATTTTATTCATCTTACGTCACTGTTCCTTGGAAAACATGAAATGTGAAACATCAGGTGTTGTTTTGCATGAAACAGTAAGATCCAGTTTTGCTACAATATAATACAAAATGTTAATACATTTTACAAAATAAAACATATATTGTATATGTTACACATACATTTATGTTAATAGTTAATTAATAGTTGTTATATTAATTGTCATTATTACTCCATTAATATCATTACTTTTACCTTATTCACTTTTATTGATTATTTAGTTGTTTGTCTGAGGGTGGCGTGTGTCTCTGAAGGTTAGGACTAGATGCCTATAATTGGAAGGTTGCTGGTTTAAATCCTGGAGTAAGACGAGTAATTTTACCATGTTCCCCCAATTTCTCCAGATACTGGCTGACCATGATCTCTCAGCTATACGTTAACAGTGTCACACATTTACGATTTAGTAAGGTACACAAAGTTCGCCCCTCCCTTAATGCTTTCTGTTGGTTTTGAGCCATTCAAATTGTCAATATTGCACACAATGTAATCACAGATGGAAACTTCCAAAATACTTTTTTTTTCCTTTTTATGTTGTTTGTGGTTTAGAACCAGCACTTGTTAGCAAACTCAATACAGCAAGTATGGGGTTCTAAAGCTGTCATTGAAGGGTGGGACTGCGGCTGATGACTATTTTGTTGTTGAAGTGACAAGGTGAGTTTACGGGCGTGAGCACTGAGCTGCAGGGCTCAGGTGTGAAACATGCTGTCCAGGAGGAGAGATGTAGGAGTGTCTGCTTTCCCGTCCCTGTGACACCATTCACTGAGTCACCTACATATAACCGGTACTTTACCCTTAGACATCCATCCATGTCCTATTTATTTTTAACAGTGAAATGGACCAACCCCAAAACAGTACAGAAATAAAATAAGAAATATTTACATCTCTTTTTTGCAGTTGTTAAGATTTTATTGATTTTATTGATCGCCTCTGGGATTAGGGTTTGAGTTTCCACCATGGCTTCATGTGTGTGGAGTTTGCAAGTTCTCCCCATATCATCCCCACAGGCACAGTCAAAGGTCACAGTGACAGTCATCCCTAACAAGTCAGAACAGGAAGTGATGTCAGGAAGTTCCATTTTGGCTCAGGGCCTTAACCACTTTATCATCTGTTACCAAAAATCAGTTAAGATAATATTGTGAGGTACATTTTCTTACATGCAGTCAACTTGGAAGCAAGTAATGATTTGAAAAAGTTGCCAGTGGACAGTATGAGTTTAGGTGAAATTAAGATTGACTTTCCCCAGTCTCAGAGCACTTTAACGTTAGTTGCATTCAGGTTCATGATTATGATTTTGCAGTGAAAGCAACATGAGAATAACTGGTTCAGACCCAAAACTAAGAACATTAAACATTACAATCAGAGATGCCCTTTCTATCCTATTGAGTTGGCATGATATTCATTGATTAAGGGATGGTGTAATTTTATCACTGACATTAACCATTCATCCTCGTCAGGGGTGGTGAGGAGCCTCAGACCTATCCTACACCACAAGGACGTTTATTGATTGCAACATTAAATATTAGAGCAAATACCTGAAATAGAGGATCTTCCAAAGAAATTTTCATTATACTAATGTATTAATAAAACGCATTTTAAACTCGGTTGAATATCTGCAGCCTCTATGCAGGTGGAGGCTCATCTTCATCCTCCACATTCACCACAACCGTCGCAGTGGCTGTGGGCAGCTGAGTGGAAAACGGAGCTTCATCCTCCACTGTAACCAGCA